TTGCATGAAATGAAGAATGAAAGATAAGTGGGTAAATATGTAAAGTTCCTTTGTGTCTTAAACTGAGATTTCATTGTCTAAATGCAGCTATTTCAAATTGTGGGAAACCAATACTTCACTATCTGTACCACTTCACTTTACTACTACAGTGGAACCTCTACTTACGAACTTAATCCACCCCACAAGATGTTCGTTAATTGAAACATCCGTAAGTCGAATCATCATTTCCCATAGGAATGCATTGAAAACTGATTAATCCATTCCGGCTGGTTTTGGTTCTTGTGTAGAGGCGCCATTCATATGTTGAAGCATTCGTTCTCATTTCATCCATACTCTACCACTAGGGGGAGAATTTTTCTTCTTTTGATCTAAGATGAACTTAGGTCAAAAAAAGGTCAGGAAAGGGGGGAGGGGGAGGGAACACCTTCTAAACAGAACATCTTTAAAAACAAGCACCTTTTAAAAAGGGCAGGAAAGGAGGGAGGGAGGGAACACCTTCTAAACTGAACACCTTTTAAAAAGTCACAGAATCTAGCAAGCATTATTCCAGCACAGAACTCCTCATCACAAAAAGAGAGCGGGGGGGGGGAGAGACTTGAGTCTAAATTCCATTTTAAAGCCTGCCTGCCTGCCTGCATCTACAACCACCACAGCCCCTCACATAATTTTTTTTATTTTAAAACATACTTTAGAGCCACATTTTAACCACATACATTTTAAAACTAAAATCTACACTGCAAGACCCATCAGAGCACAGAAACATAACCCCCACCTAGCCCTACCCCCCTCCACCAAGCTGCAAAAAAACCCTGTACAGTACAGTAAATACAGTGTACTCACCCAGAACAGGTAGTCTCTCTATTTTAAAAAAGAAAGTCAAAAATACAAAAATAAAAAAGCCAAAAATAAAAAAACAGTCCGTACAGTACAGTACCAGGCAGTACAGTACAGTACCAGGCAATACTAGGCAGTACCAGGCAGTCTGAAGTCTCTTTCTGTATCCACACTCTCTAACAGCTGGGGCGAGTGAGGTAGCAGACGAGCAGCCTTTTTGCTGGCCAACGGTTAACTGAAATTTCCCACCTTCCCCGTGGTTTTTTTTTCCTATTCATAAGTAGGAGCAAAATTTTGTGGAGCTGTTCGTAAGTTGAAATGTTCATAGGTAGGGACGTTCGTAAGTAGAGGTTCCACTGTAGTTCATTGTGCTACATGTACTCTATGGATATAGAATATGTGTCACCACCACAAATGTAGCTAGCTGTTCATATGTTCAACTGAATGCCTGAATAAGGCTTCTGGGGGGCAAAAGAGATGCAAATAGAAACAGAGCTGAAATGAGCAATGAACGATGTGTAATTATCCTTTAACATGTTTCACAGGTTCATAAGTTGGAAATTTCTTTTGTTTGGTAACTGGTCTTTGGGAGGAAACAACAGGCTCTGCATTTTGATTGTCCAAATGCTGTGGCTGTGAAGAATGTATTTCTGCAGCATGGCAGTTTATCACTTCTTGATTTCTCCCAATTGTGAAGCTGACAGTCTTGTCTACTTTTCCATGGAAAAGATTTCAGAAAGCTCTTTACTTGAGACCTTGGCACATCACTGCCAAACGAGACAGCACAGACCAATGACTCATTTTCATATATTCAGCTTCTTCAGCTGATTAACTTTCATTTTGAGGTTAAATTATAAAGAAGTAGGAACTGAAATAGTGTTTATTCCTTTTTTATAAAGTACTGTTCACAGTGAGTTCAGTGTTTGGATAAGTATTATCTCACAAAGCAGAGACAGATTTTTGTGTGAACTTCACAGTGTGCTCATGCAATTTCAAATCAATTAGAAATGGGGGTGGTTGGCGGGAGAAGGAAATGCAAAGCTTTACCAACAAAACTGCAAAGCTGTGTGTTAATTGGAACTTTAAAAACTGCATAAATACTGAGGCTAATTTATACCAAAGAGAGGAACAAAGCTGTTATGTTTTATAATTAAAAGATGCTAATTTGGTTTATAAATAGAAGTGTACTTATTAAATGAGAAAATAGTTCACTTTGTTTATTGTGGGTTGTCAAGACACGGGGGTTTTTTAACATCCTGGTGAGACTTTAATTTGAACCTCTAATATAATACAAATCAAACATGAAGAAGATGGCATAGATCCTAGTAGGGTAGTGTGTGTTGTGTGCTGTTAAACTGGAACCAAGTTATAGTGGACCTAATAGGGCTTTCAAGATATTTAAGGAATTGTTTTATCCATTCCAACCCCCTAGTGAGTTTCTATAGCCAAGCAGGGATTCAAACCCGTCTCCTCTGAGTCCCAGTCCATCATGCTATACTCTGCACCACACTGGATATCAGTAGGTAATGAGGTGCCATTATTCAAATGTTGATACGTATTAGATACACAATTAATTGTGCACAATTCCCCAAAGACTTCCAGTCTGCTTTTTTCTTACCAAGAATAATTTGAATTTGGAAGGTCATTTAATACTGCCAGGGTGGGGTTCACTACACTTCCCTCTGTTCATTGTAACAGTGGCAGGTAGACCCATCAGTATCAACAGTATAAATCATTAGCGAAAATGGCCGTTCTGACAGACAAGCGCTGCTTAGCCTTCTCCCCACCTATTTTTTGACACAGTTGTTAAGCAGATGTTTGAAATGGTAATATCCTTGCCATTTGTTTTGATACTTTGTGCCTCTGTTACTGCAACTGACCTCTCTGGACAGAAACGCAAGAAACAAAATTGAAATGCATACATACCTATGTACATGCCATCATACATACATACATACATACATACTGTACATACATACATACATACATACATACATACATACATACATACATACATACATACATACATACATACATACATACATACCGTATTTTTCCGTATAATTGTTTTATAATGTCTGCTAGAATACTGTAATTTATAATTGTTTTTCTTTATTGAATTCTATCATGTATATTGTTTGTCTTGATCACAAAAATGGCCAGAGATTTTTTTTTTTTTAATTCTTTTAACAGAGTGCCATATCAGGTCAGGAATTCCAATGGCTGAACATCACCCTAAGAACCTCCAAAACTTTATAGACCTCTGGAGAGAGAAAAAAGAAGAACCTTGTGTTCATCACAGCTGGCATTTATCCCAATTAAAAGTTAATTCCAGAATGAAACCAAACAATAATTGACAATCATATCAAAACTCATTTGAGAATCAAAGTATAATTTGACAGCACAGACAGAGTTCTGACTCCTGTCCTCTGAAGATGTCAGCCACAGAGACTGGTGAAATGTTAGGAATAAAAACTGGCGAAACATTAGGAAGAAAAACCTCAAGAACATGGCCACACAGGCCGAAAACCAACAACAACCATATAATATTTTCATTGTTTTCAATAGTTCCAGGCAACATCAGTTTGACCAGTGGTTCTTAACCTTTGTTACTCAGGTGTTTTTGAACGGCAACTCCCAGAAATCCCAGCCAGCACAGCTGATGGTGAAGGCTTCTGGGAGTTGCAGTCCAAAAACATCTGAGTAACAAAGGTTAAGAACCAGTGAGTTTGACTATAGCTATCTGTTTTAATTTATCCTGCTGGTTATCGTATTCGTTTAAAAAGATATATTATTTTATTTTTATTGTCTTTTGATATTGTGTTGTTTATCTTGTTGTTAGCCAGCCAGAGTTGCTTGGTTGCCAGATGGTGCGGGGTATAAACAAACAAACAAACAAACAAATAAATACATAAATACATAAATACATAAATACATCTACAAGCTTTATTTATCTTTATTACTTTCATGTTATATAAACACAAAAATATTTCCCAAATATTCAAGTCTTACATGTTCCATATGCAGAAGATTACTTCAAATAGTAACAAGTTAAAATATATAAATAGATGTAGGCACAAATGCTTAAAAGTATATACGAAAACTAAACTTAAGTTTCAGGCAAATATGTAAGCTAGCATTCAATCGAAAATACATAAAATATATATTTTAAGAATAAAAAAGGAACAATGGAAAATGTTTCAAATACAGTCTGAAAATGCAGAAGCTTATATCCTTAAAAGGCTCATTTTAACAGTAAAAGGCAGAGAATGCACCTCTAAAATACCAAAGTTCTTAAGAATAAAAATATATTAAAGAAAATGATTTTCTTAGCCTCTAAGCATATTAAGAACACACACACACACACAAAATATAATTCTAAGTTCTCACTCAACCAAAACAGCTTGAATCTATGGAGGCAAATTGATGATGATTGTTAGTTCTTGCCTCTGGAAATGAAGCTTGCTGCTGCACAGCTACAGTACATGATTGCTCTTGATATCCTCTGTGTGTAGCATAGCATGGAGTGTTGTTGATTTGAATGTTGTATTCATCTCTCTGTGTGTTATCTCTCTATATTTCTAATTCTTTTAGTTGTTTTTCTTTTCCTTTCAACTATAAATGATCTCTTTTCCAGGGACCTGGCGATCCAGGGACCTGGAGCACCAAGAAAATAATTTTTATAGGAAATTTTATTGTCCCTACAGTCTTTGTAACTCCAAAAGTCTGTAATACGGAATCTGACAGGTTGCCACTATGAAGATAATGTCATTGTTTTGACTAAAATTTTGCAAAGCTTGGAGGACTAAAGGCCTGTTTTACCAGGGTCCTAGTATACCAAAATACAGGAAACCCAAGGTATTGGAACTACAAAGAGTGCAAATTATATCTACCACCTCCATATTTACACCTTCCAACATAAACATATTCAAATGTCAGGATTGTTATCATACAGCTACCTTGGTTGGCTGAAGAACTGACTAATTGTTTTGCAATGACTATAGTAAATTATTGTTCAAGCCTCAATTGTAAAAGCACTTTCATTTTCAGGGCTACTTTTTTCCCACATAGCCCTTAATCATTTTAACATGCTAAACATACAAAATTTCACAGCCATATAAATTTAATAAATCAAATCAATCAAATGTCTCATTTTTCTTTTCAAGGAGTACGGATGCTAGATGGTGATGTTACAGACATGGTAGAAGCAAAATCACTTAGCCTCAATCCCCAACATATACATATCTACAGTGCTAGCTGGGGTCCTGATGATGATGGGAAGACAGTTGATGGACCTGCTTCTTTAACACGTCAGGCCTTTGAGAATGGCGTCAGAATGGTATGTTTGTATAGATTCTCTCTCTCTGTGTACTTGCAAGTTATATATTGCTGACGTTACAAAGGATGATGAAAATGGATAGTGGTGTTTGCATGGCATCAGGGATTGCTGAAAATAAATCAGCTGCGATTAGAGCCCATGGGACAGGGAAAATCAATAATCTGGGAAGCTTATTTTCAAGCACCCACCCATGTGTAGTATGTCCTGAAAACATTCCCACCAACTCAACCAAGGGATATGATAAGTAGCATATAGTGGTGCCTCGACTTACGAACACCCCTACTTACGACCATTTAGACTTACGAACTGCTCTGGTCTCAAAATTTTGCTTCGACTTGTGACCAGAGCTTCAATTTACGACCAAAAAAAGGCAGGGGAAAGGTGGGAAATTCAAATTTCTAACCGTTGGTGGCAAAGAGGCTGCTTCTTTGTAGCTCTTTCACCCCAACAGTTAGGGAAAGGGATGCAGCGGCGGGGGGAGATGGTGGGGGAGTGTCCCTCGGCACTCCTCGCCACCCTCCGTGGGGCCAATGCCGCCCCTGCTACTGGATCCCGGTCCCGTAGGGCCAAGGACTGACCGCAGCCCACCAGGACGGAGGAGGAGGTGGTGCAGGAGGACCCTTGCTCTGGGATCAGAACCCCCTCCGCCCCTGTGCTGAGGACCGGGAGCCAGCAGCAGCAGTGGCATCAGCCCCATGGGCGCGGCTCTCCTTCTCCATCAGTAGATGGCTCCTGGGCTGGTCATCGGGCTCCTCACTGTCCTACTTGGGGCCAATGCCGACGTGCCTGCTGGCTCCTGGTTCTCAGCATGGGGGCAGAGGGGGCCCTGATCCCAGAGGAAGGAGGAGGAGGTAGCAGCATGGGAGGATCCTTCCTCTGGGATCAGGGCCCCCTCCGCCCCCGTATTGAGGACCAGGAGCCAGCAGCAGCAGCCCTGCAGAAGGTGGCAAGGAGCCCTGACGAGCAGCCGCTGGAGCCAGGCCGCTGTCATGGCCGTGCCCACGCCCTGCTGGAAGGAGAGGCTCCTCCTGGTCAGGACCTCCGGCTGCTCGCCCCGGCCTCACCCTCCACCATGGCCGGCCCCGCCACCACTGCCTCGGCTGCAGCCGGGGAGTGAGTGCCATCAGAGGAGGCTTCGGACTGCCTGGTAAGGTAAGGTGCTGTTTTTTCTTTTTAAAAAATTGTTCTGGGTGGGTTTTGGCTGGGGAGCGGGTTATGTTTCTGTGATATTTTGTTGTTTTGTTTTTTATTGATTTTTGTTATTGTTGTTGTTGTTGTTGTTGTTTTTGCAGTCCCAGCATGGGGCTTGCTCTGTTTATTTTTAGGTGTGTTTTTTTGCAGCCCTATGGGGCTTGCAGTGTTTTATTTTTATTTTATTTTTTGTGTGTGGCCGGAACAGATTAATCGTGTTCCCATGCATTCCCATGGGAATGCATGCTTCGACTTACGATCATTTTGACTTCTGTTCCGTAAGCACGGGGGCAGAGGGGGCCCTGATCCTGGAGGGTGAAGGAGGAGGAGGAGGCGTAGGATAACTTCCTCAGTGGCTCAAGGGGGCTTTTCTTTCAAAAAGGTTAAGAACCACTGTTCTAACACATTCTTATTATGTTCTTACATCTATAAAACTAAGTAGTTTTTAGATGCCACCTACTCTGCATGCATTTGGACTGCAGTACTATGAAAGAGCTTTCCTACTGATTTTCAGCCAAGTGTGCACTTCTTTTCTTGTTATATCTTTGGGACCAAGTCTTATCAGAGATATCACCTACACAAAACCTCCACACATCTGAAAAGTATTGATTCCCAGTCTTTTCCACTTGTTTTGGGAAACATTCTAAAAGTTTATATTTGTAGCAAAACCAGCAAGTGAAGAAGTGAGCGAGCTTAGATGATTGCATGACCCCACTTCTGTATGCCTCTGTAAACATTTGGATGTTCTGTTAGCCTTCTGCAAGAAGAATAGAATCTTTTTGCAATTTTAATAAGCATTCAGCCATGTAAACTTGAGAGTTGATTTATTCTATCTTAGTCCTATGAGGTGAGCTCTAGTTTATTATGTCATGATCAAATTTGTGAGGATTTAGGTATAGTATAGTGGATAGAGTAAGGGACTAGGACTCTGGAGAACAGAGCTCAAATCCCTGCTCAGCCATGGAAACTCACTGAGGCAGTGGAACTAATAAAACCACTCCTTAAATATCTCACCTTGAGAACCAGGGCCAGTATAAGTCAGCTCCAACCTGACAGCAGATCACACACACACACACACAAAAGGAAGTAAAGGTTTCTTGCTGATGGTTCTTTTCTTGGAAATTCTTTTTCATTGGTTATGCTTTTAAAATATTTCTAAAATAGTTTTCGTTCAGCGCTTTTGCTTGACAACTTTTGTAGCTTATTTGTTATAGTATATTGGTTCCACTAGTCCTAAATGTCTGGAGTGTTTTTATTTATTTATTTATTACCTGGGTGATCTCCCTTCTTCATCCTCTTGTGTTGGGAAGGAGAGAGGTGAGGGGGTTTGGCCTCGGGAAAGGGGCATATGACTTCATCTCTTCTAGTTCTTCTCTTGAAGTCACAATTTTCCTAATACAGCAACCTCTCATTTGCTTAGAACAGTGATGGCAAACCTGTGGCACGCGGAGCCCTTCTGGCACATGAGCATAGGTTGCTACTCCCCCCACCCTCATCCCCGCGCAGCCAAACCTCATGAGGCAGCTGCAGCTGGGATTCCCCCTTCTGCCGCCACTTCCGAGTCTTCTGGGTCCGTCACCATGATTCCCCCTTAAATCGCCACTTCCAGTTCCAGTCTTCTGGGTCCGGATCCAGGTCTGTCGCCACCGCTATCACTCTGGCGGCACACCACCCGCTGTCCCCCCCATTTTGGGCATGTGAGCCCAAAAAGGTCTGCCACCACTGGCCTAGAAGAACTTTCAACTAGAACAGTTACTTAAAATATAGAGACATTTAAGGGAAGCACCATGCAAATCGTCCCATCTTACTCCTGCACTTGCTGTGTTTTGCTCCGAGACTGAAACACTGGGAGAATGAAAACCAGTGGCTAGAATGCTATTAGTTATGCCCAATGGCATAATGTGATTTATATATGGACAATTGGCACATTTCCTCAAGTTAAGAAGTAAGCAAAGGCATTTGCTCTTGTGTACTGTCATGTGATTCAGCAGACAACAACAAATGCATACAGTAACTTTTTAACTTGTGGCAATTATCCAATAAGATTTATACCAGCTGTGTTATACTGACAAGAAAAGAATTTAGGATTTTGTCAGTATTTTTCACTTGTATGAATGTTTCACAGAAGTGGCTGTGGTAGTTGTTAACCTCTATCTGACCAGTACTGTATAAAGCAACCTGTCTTGAGCACTGTGTCTGCTTTTCCATCTCTAAAGCTGTTCCATCAGAAATCTTATTCTGACCTCTCTGTATTCTGTGTTTTTGTGAATGGCAATAGGGAAGAAGTATGTCCACGTGGAAGTTCCCCATGTGTTTTATTGAATTCATTATTACTAGGCCTGTGATGTGATTTGAACCATAGTTTTGTGATAATGACAGGTTGGACATTCCTTGCAGCATTGTAAGAGCTTGTTGGACTGCCTTACTTCCCCCCCCCCCCATAAGTCACTGGGAGAAGGGACAGTGGGAAAAACCTGCTGATTCCTGTTCAAATTGCAAGTCGTTCAAAATTCTGTACTCAAATTTCATTGTTAGTTTGCAGCAGAGCCTAGAAACTCCTGAACAAGCCATGGCCTTCTCCAACAACCCTCTTTAAATACTCACTCTTGGGACTCTAATACGTCTGATCAAGTCTGAAGTGGATCCAGAGGGTCATTCCTTCTCCAAAGCCAGCAGTCGACTTATGACAACTCTAAGAATGACTAACCTCCAAAAGGTCTTGTTATGAAGAGTGCTGTGTAGCTCTTGCAGACTCAAGGCTGTAGCTTCCTTTATTGTGTCAATCCATCTCTTTGGTCTTCCTCTTTCCCAGTTGCTTTTAACTGTTCCCAGAATTATTGATTTTACAAAGAGCCTTGTCGTGATGTGCCCAAAGTACGACAGCCTCTTTTTAAGTCATTTTTTCTTCTAGGAAAAGCTCAAGCTTGATTTGGTCTCACACCTACTTTTTTGCCTTTTTGGCAGTCCATATTTGCAAAGTTCTCCTCTAACACCATATTTCAAATGGGTCATTTTTTTCCCTGTTGGTTTTCTTTATTATCAGGCTTTCATATCTGTACATGGTAATTGGAAATATCAAAATGTAGATGAACCTCATATTGAGAGTACCACAATGTAGATAATCTTCATAATATAGACAGGTTTCGAGATCTAAGTAGAGATATTAAGGATTCGATGAATAAATTGTAGTTCAAGATGGCCATAGCTGAGGTGCTACAGCGCATCAGTTCTGTTTTATATAGAGATAGAGATATTTTCAGGTAGACAGGACCAGTCATAGGCCACTTGTTCAGTGTTAGGGGACCATCTGATTCAAGAAAAGAATTGGGCAGATGGTGGAGAAATAGGAGATGAGGATGAAGGAAAAGATAAAGATAATATAATAGGAAGGTGGTCACTAGCTGTATGGTTACCAATCAGAAAGTCAGAAAGGAAAGAGAGAAGAGATGGTGAAACCAGGATATAATCAGTAATGCTCGAGCCCCTGGTAGATACATGGGTAAATTCTCCTGGGATGTGTTGTTTAACAAAACTGTTGAGGATGGTTAAATTATAATGAAGACATATCTATTAAAGGAAAAACATGGGTATTAAAAAAGAGGTCTTTAGAAGATCTTGTAGAAAGAAACCAGGGAGAACTTTGCTCATCAAAGCTCCAGTTAAGGTAGAAGCCTAAGGCATGATTATTTGGACCTATTCTAGAGTTAAGGTTGCATGCAATTAAGACATGAGCAGAGGGGTAGGCAATGGAATATTTCAGGAGAAGTTCTCCTAGGTCATCCCAGAGGGACGGGGATGAAGCAGTAGGG